CTCCCTATGGGGCCACGGAACGTGTGAGTGGTGTGCTGAAGCGGGCGATGACGAAGGTGATGATGATGATGATGATGATGATGATGATGATGAAATGATGAAATGATGAAAAGACGATAAGGATGATGATGATGATGATGGTGATGGTGATCGTGATGGTGGTGATGATGATGATGATGATGCTGATGATGATGATGACGATGATAATGAGAGGAGGCGCGGGGCGCTGTCTCTTCGAAACGAGGACCCAACACCACAAGATAGTTTGGAACAATCTTAGGTTTCGCAAGGCTTTCAAAACCGAGTGTCCAACACATCTAAGAGCACATGGTATCGCAACACGGAATATTTTCTTCACATATATATATATATAATGTGCACGCTCTCGCGAATTCTTAAGAAACCCATAAGTTGTTCAACATGCCCATACATTCCTACCACATGGGTTTCGCGCGCGCGCTGTCGCGAGAGTCCGTTGCAAAACATATGGCTCGAAACGTGTGAAGGGTGTGCCAAAATTTGCCCAGTGGGGAACTGCGACAGCAGCCGCTTGGGCCGCCGGTGAAAATCCTTATGGGGCCACGAAGCGCGTGAGAGGTGTGCCGAAATAGGTGCGGTGGGCGCATGCGAACGCAGTCGCTGGGGCCGCGCCGAAATGGGTGCGGTGGGCGCATGCGAACGCAGCCACTGGAGCCTTCAATGGAGCTCCCTATGGGGCCACGAAGCGTGTGAGGAATGTGCCGAAATGGGTGTGGGTGACGCATGCGGGCGGTGGCGCTAGCGCCTTCGGTGGAGCTCCCTATGGGGCCACGAAACGCGTGAGGGGTGTGCCGAAATGGGTGTGGGTGACGCACGCGGGCGGTGGCATTGCGGCATTCGGTGGAGCTCCCTGGGTATGGGGCCACGAAGCGTGTGAGGGGTGTGCCGAAATTTGTTTGGGTGACGCATGCGGGCGGCGGCAGTGGGGCCTTCGGTGGAGCTCCCTATGGGGCCACGAAACGTGTGAGTGGTGTGCCGAAATTTGTGTTGGTGACGCATGCGGGCGGTGGCACTAGGGCCTTCGGTGGAGCTCCCTATGGGGCCACGAAACGTGTGAGAGGTGTGCCGAAATGGGCGTGGGTGACGCATGCGGGCGGTGACATTCGAACGCCCTTGCGCGCGCGCTGGAGGGGCACGATCCGTTTCAAATAATACAACGCGGGCCACTCGTTCGCCGGCCGCGCGCGCACATGTCGAACTCTTCATCACCGACGCAGGGGCGCCGTCATCGTAGCCGGCGTGATCAGCATCGGCGCCGTCATTGGCAGTGCCGTCGTCGCTGTCAACAACATCGTCACCAGCATCGCTGCGAATAGCATCGTGTGTAATGTTGTCGGCGTTGCCATGCTACCGCGCCCGCCCAGGTCGCCGACTCGCACTGAAGTGCCCGCTGGGATGTGCCCAGCGGTCGGCGCCACCGCGGCCGCGTCGCCCCAAACTAGCTGGCCGCTGCGCGCGCACGCATGCGCGGGCTGGCGCGGCCGCAGATACGCACCAGCCATCACCAAGCGCTCATGGCCATCGCCGCCGCTCGTGTTTTGCAAGACAAGTTGCAGGTGGGTGGGCGGGATGTTTGCGCGAGCAGTGGAGCTGACAACTGCGAGCTCCACAGGTGAATTCTTTAAATAAGAATAGACTCTACCCCCCCCCCCCCCGGAGCAGGAGTTAACGGGTCACCTTTTCGTATTGCAATTTACATATGATTGTGCCCCGTCGTCCATCCTTAATGTCGAATCGTGCTATCCCAGCCAGGCCAGTATCGACCCCCCCCCCGCCATCTTCTTGCAAAAAATTCGATGCGCGCGCATTCGTTTATCAAAAACCAGAAGTTGCCAAGAATCCTTTTGCAAAAAAACACAAAGTCATCACGCGCGCGTCCATGTCAAAGTCGTACCAAACACAGTGTGTCTGCAAGCACTTCAGCATAACAACCTACAAAACCCAAGGGTTTTGCAACAATTTGTTTGCAAATGTCCTGTCCGCGCGCTCATGCTAAAATTGCGCAAAAAGGATGGGGATTCTTATGAATTCTGCCAAATCCAGCGATTTCATATCACCGCGCGGTGCACCCGCGATACCCCTGTCAGGCGCCGAGGGCGCGAATCCCTTGCAAAAAATACCACGCGGGCCACATGCGCGCCCCGCCGCGCGCGCATGATCAGTCTGACGGATTTGTTGAACTTCCGCGCGCGCTCGCGCGGATTTCCTTTTCAACCTTGTCAGCATCACCGCGATCACCTGCCTCGTCGGCGTGATCGGCATCGGCGCCGTCACTGGCCGTGCCGTCGTCGCCGTCAGCATCGTCGCCAACATCGGTAGTATCATCACCATCGTGTCTGAAATTGTCGACGTTGCCATGATACCGCGCCCGCCCAAGTCGCCGGCTCGCACTCAAGTGCCCGCTGGGATTTGCCGAGCGGTCAGCACCACCACGGCCGCGCCGGTCGCGCTGCGCGCGCGTGCATGCGCGGGCTGGCGGGGCCGCAGACATGCACCAACCCGCGCGAAGCACTCATCGCAATCGCCGCCGCGTGAGGTTTGCAAACCAAATTCCGGGTGGGCGGGTGGGATGTTTGCGCGAGCAGTGGAGTGGTCAACTCACTGCGAACAGAAAATAATTGCACCACATAGGTTGCATCACAAATATTGTTTGTGATTTAGGAAGAAGCAGACTCTACCGCACCCTTGAGATAATCCGCATTTCTGTCGTAGTCCAAGTTATATACGAGCCTGCCCCATCGCCCATCGTAAAGAGGAGCCCATACCATCCCAGGCAGGCCGGTATCGACCCCCCCCGTCGTCCTCTGCAAAGAGTGCTATGCGCGCGAAATCCTTTACCACAAATCATGAGTTTGCAAGAACCACTTGCGACGAATACGACGAATTGCGCACGCGTTCGTCGTCGAGCGCGCATGCCGGAATCCGTCAAAATTTCAAGGTTTCGTGAAGATTTCAATATCGAGTGTTCAGAACACGAATAGAAACACATGGTTTCGCAACACGGATTTTCAACAGCAAAATGCGCGCTCTTGCGAATCCGTAAGAAAATTGTGTTCCCACATTATCAGGAAATGCTACCAAACAGGCTTCGCGCGCGCATGTCGAAGTCGTTCGAACGCCCTTGCGCGCGTGCTGTCGCGAGGGTCTTTTGCCAGAAATGAGACGAAGTGCGCGCGCGCGTCGTCGCGCGCGCATGCCGAAATCATTCCGAAACCATATTTTTAAACGAAAAATGGTTTTACAACATTTGTGTTCAAAACAACTTGCGCTCGCGCTCTGGAGAATTGCAAAGAAAACCGTAGGTTTTCAACATTGGCATTGAATTCTTCTGACAAGCCGGCATCCCGCACCGCATACCGAACCGTTCGAACGCCGTTGCGCGCATGCTGGGGGGCACGGCCCGCGTCAAGAATTTTATGCGGGCCATTCGCGCGGCGGCCGCGCGCGCATGTCGAGCTCTTTCCAGAACCTTCATCACCGACGCGAGGACGCCGTCATCGTCGCAGGCGTGATCAGCATCGGCGCCGTCACTGGACTTGCCGTCGTCGCTGTTAACATCGCCATCAGCATCGCTACTAATATCATCCTGTCCACCGTTGTCGACGCTGCCATGCTACAGTGCCCGCCCAAGTCGCCGACAAGCACTGAAGTGCCCGATGGGATGTGCCCAGAGGTCAGCGCCGCTGCGGCCACACCCGTCGCGCCAAACAAGCTGGCCGCTGCGCGCGCGTGCATGCGCGGACTGGCGCGGCCGCAGATGGCTGGGTGGGTGGGATGCGGGTGGGTTTTGCGAACCAAGTTGCGGGTGGGTGGGTGGGATGTTTGCAAGAGTATGGAGTGTGTCAGTTCGTTTGTACAATCAAATTACACATAAACCGCACCACATAGACTTCTAAAAATATTATGCGCGGGGTCCACGCTGTCGAACAGAAGGAGAATGGTTGGAGAGAGGGAGGAGGACGATGGGGAGGGGGAGAGGAGGAGAAGGAGGAGGAGGTGGAGGAGGACCAGTGGAAGCCCAAGAGTCATCAACGAGGTTGGAATTAACCCTCCCTCCAAGCTCCCTCCTCATAGGCCCTTACAACGGTTCATTTCCACTGGGGGAACTAAGTGCCTCGCTGGGAGACAACAGTTTGAAGATCCTGAAGCGTGCCCAGAACATTGCTCTCATGATTTCAACGCCACGCATCAATGTGAGTGCTACGTCTTGACGATGCAGAATCGTGCCAGAACGCCATTTTTGGGACCTCGACACAGCGAATCAACATCACTGTTGCGCCCGCATAATCTTGAATCCGTGAAACGCTTGCAATGTTTAAAAAAAAAAAAAAAAAACGATTGCGCGCGGCGTTAAGGCGAGAGTCACATGTTGAAAAGCGACCGCCCTCAATCCGTAAAACTCTTGCAAAGTTTAAAGCCGAATGTGCGCGGCGCAAAAGCGAGAGCCACATGTTGAAAAGGAACCGCCCTCAATCCGTGAAACTCTTGCAAAGACAAAACGAATGTGCGCGGTGCAAAGACGAGAGCCACATTTTGAAAACGGCCCGCCCTCAATCCGTGAAACTCTGGCAATTTGTTAAAACGAATGTGCGCGGCGCCATGGCGAAAGCCACATTTAAAAAAAACACCCGCCCTCCATCTGTGAAACTGGTGCCACATTTTAAAGCTTCAGAGTCATAAGTGGTAAGGAATTATCAAGCGAAACGCCCGGCCCACCCTAAAAACTGGCCTTGGGGTGCGACAGGGAGGAGTTATCTATAAGGAGCAGGAATGGAGGAGGAGGAGGAGAAGGAGGAGGGGCAGGAGGAGGAGGAGCAGGGGGGGAGAATCCATGACCAGATTGCGTGAAAGACAACAGAAGTCGCGGGAAGGGAGGAAGAGGAGGAGGCGGAGGAGGGAGCGGAGGAGGAGGGAGCGGAGGGCGCGCGGCTGGGACCCCACCCACCCCCGGGCGTGGCCAGCGCGGCGGCGGCGGCGCAGCGGGTCGCGGAGCCGCCCCCGCAGCCGCAGCAGGCGGCCGCCAGCCGGCGCCCTCGCGCCGCGGCCGCGGCGCTCCGCCGCGCGCCCGCCCACCACCGGCTTGAAGCACATCCGTGTCCCGTAAATTGCCTCGATACGCCCGTTTTGAAACGCAACACGTCCCGTGTTCAAGACGTCCGTGTCAGTACGTTGCGTGTTGGCTCCACGTATTGGACCGCGTTTTGGCGAGTGCATCGCGTCGGGCCTTCGTTTTCAGCCTACGTGTTGAGCTCCGCATCGATACGATACGTGTTGCGTGTTGCGCATCGGGGCAGCTAAGCCCTGTCCCTGTGCTTGGCATCACGATACCGCGGTGCCAGTCTCAGGGAGTCGCGCCGCCTCTGCGGGCACGCCCCTGAGATGGGAGGAGGGGGAGGTGGGGGAGGTGGGGGAGGAGGGGGAGGAGGAGGAGAGGAGGAGGAGGAGGAGGAGAAGGAGGGGAGGAGGAGAAAGAAGAGACAAGGGGAGGAGGAGGGAGGAGGAGGAGGAGGAGGAGGAGGGAGGGGATGAGAGGAGGAGAAGGAAGTTGCTGCAGGCAGCCGGCTTCGGCCCCGCCTCCGGGCACGCTCCCGGCTGCACGGCTGCCCCTCGGGCGCCGGGGGGGGGGGGGGGCGGGGGCGCGCCGGAGAGACGGCGCACGCACCCTGCTGCGCTGCGGCTCCCTCTGGCCATCCCCCCCCCCCCCTCCCTGGCTCGAGTCTCGAGGATCGAGGCTCGAGAATTCGAGGCTCGAGGCTCGAGGCTCGAGGATCGAGGCTCGAGAATTCGAGAATCCGAGAATTCGAGGCTGAAGGCTCGAGGACCGAGGCCCGCCTCGGCCGCCGCGGCCCGCTCGGGCAGCGGCAGCGCTCCCGCCGCCCGCCGCGCAGAGGCGCCCGCGCCGCTCGCCCGGCGCGGTGCGCCGCGGGCCCTCGCGGGTGGCCGCAGAGGGGGCCGCATGCGAACCCGACCCCTACCCCCGGGAGCGGAAAAGAGGGGGGTGATGACTAGGGGGGGGTGGATTTCATGGCGCGGGCCATGATTTTTCCTCAGATTTCATGGCGCCTCTTCTTATTTCATTACGTCCCTGGCCCCCCCGCTGGGCCGCGCACATGCCGCCGGTCATGATTTGCACCCCCCCCTCTTGGACACCCCCCTCTTGGCCGCTCCCGATACCCCCCACGATTTCTGAGGGGGAGGGTGGGGTGCACTTCGCTCGAGAGCTCCCGAACGAAGCGAGCCCCAGCCTCCCCCTCAGAACTCGTGGGGGGCAGGGGTAGGGTTCGCGTGTGGTCTCCTACTGGCATCGCTCGGCCGTGCGCGCTCGCTGTTCTCGGCGAGGACCATCGAGGAGCATCCTGGACCACCGAGCACAGAAAAAACACGCGCACGAAGCCGAGAGACATGCACGGGAAGTGGACGTGTCCGAGCGACGGCGAGCGGCGTCTGAAGAGGCCTGTCCCTTCTCGTCCTCCCCCCTTCGCTGGTGGCCGAGCCTCGGCCCCAGCCCCTCTCTTCACTCGCCGCCGCCCCGCCACGGTTCCTTCGCGCTGCGCCGCCCCCGCCCCTGCCGCCGCCCCGCCGCTGCACCGCTCCGGCCCCCTGCCGCCCCCATCCTTCAGGAGCGAAAGAAGGACGCACACGCAATGGAGGATGACGATAAATAAATGACCGGGGGTCGTGTTCA